GTGAGGCCTCAAGGGCCCTCGTAGCACCACCCAGTGAGGCCTCAAGGGCCCTCGTAGCACCACCCAGTGAGGCCTCAAGGGCCCTCGTAGCACCACCCAGTGAGGCCTCAAGGGCCCTCGTAGCACCACCCAGTGTGGCCTCAAGTGGCCTCGTAGCACCACCCAGTGTGGCCTCAAGGGCCCTCGTAGCACCACCCAGTGTGGCCTCAAGTGGCCTCGTAGCACCACCCAGTGTGGCCTCAAGTGGCCTCGTAGCACCACCCAGTGTGGCCTCAAGGGCCCTTGTAGCACCACCCAGTGAGGCCTCAAGGGCCCTCGTAGCACCACCCAGTGAGGCCTCAAGGGCCCTCGTAGCACCACCCAGTGAGGCCTCAACTGCCCTCGTAGCACCACCCAGTGAGGCCTCAAGGGCCCTCGTAGCACCACCCAGTGAGGCCTCAAGGGCGCTCGTAGCACCACCCAGTGAGGCCTCAAGTGGCCTCGTAGCACCACCCAGTGAGGCCTCAAGGGCCCTCGTAGCACCACCCAGTGAGGTCTCAAGTGGCCTCGTAGCACCACCCAGTGAGGCCTCAAGGGCCCTCGTAGCACCACGCAGTGTGGCCTCAAGGGCCCTCGTAGCACCACCCAGTGAGGCCTCAAGGGCCCTCGTAGCACCACCCAGTGAGGCCTCAAGGGCCCTCGTAGCACCACCCAGTGAGGCCTCAAGGGCCCTCGTAGCACCACCCAGTGTGACCTCGTAGCACCACCCAGTGTGGCCTCGTAGCACCACCCAGTGTGGCCTCAAGTGGCCTCGTAGCACCACCCAGTGTGGCCTCAAGTGGCCTCGTAGCACCACCCAGTGTGACCAAGCAAGCTCCTCACCATCAGACCTGGCACTATACACGGTCGTCAGTCCCCTGGTGCTGGTTCCAGCAAGACTGCTGTCGCTTCCTGTGAGTCGTCAACACCTGTAAAGATGAAAGTCTTCGGGAAAAATACATTATGGAAAACTTTGTTAGAGCGAGGCGGGACAAGTTTTCCAGAGGCGCGCCCATTCATTGCCAGGAACAGAATTTATTATCAAGGGAAATTTGTTTGACAAGGTGTAATCCGGACCAAAAAAAATGCGAATTTTCCTATTACTATTTTCTTCCCATTCGGTGGTTATAATAGGAGGTGCCTCGTATGGGCCAATAGGCCCATACGAGGCCCTCTGCAGTTCTTGTTCCTACTACTATCCCTCTATTACACTTTGCTCCTAATATCTCTCTTGCCTATTTATTCCCTGCATCTACTTCCTCATCACAATGGAAAGGGATCTCCCGTCACGCAGGGTGCAGTCGCACCTCCACAGATCTCCAGTATCATCTATTGATACTGGTAATGGATCAGAAGGGCCACCACTTACGGGCTATTCATGCCCGTGCCACCTTTTGGGTGGCTTAATCTTCATTAATCAATCATTCCTCATCACAATCGACTTGAGAGTGGTCCAGGACGGACTGACACGTCGTCGTACCTTCACCTTCTAGTGTGTGGTCTGGTCAACTTATGGATCGTGAAATGCTATCTCGCGTGGACATTTTTTTTACATATATGTGAGATATTTTTAATTAAAATAAAATGCAATTAGCTGGCTGAACATAACATAAAAGGAGATTCCAGTATGAAGGAGATTCCAGTATGAAGGAGATTCTCCAGATTCCAAAATTACATTTTGTGGGAATTTATAAATATATATAAATCAACTTTAACGGTTCTGAGAGTTAGGCTTTGTGGAAAGCACATTAAACAAGTATGATGGGTTGAAAAATTTATTGAAGAAGGACGGGGGGGATCGAACAGTGCCCTGGTAAACACCAGATGGGCGTCTTAACCCATGAACCACGAGATACTCCAATGATTTTCTTATAAATATATCAGGTTACTGTGTTTCCTTGACCACCATGCTGTGGTAGTTTCCATGCTGTGGTGGTCTCCATGCTGTGGTGGTCTCCATGCTGTGGTGGTCTCCATGCTGTGGTGGTCTCCATGCTGTGGTGGTCTCCATGCTGTGGTGGTCTCCATGCTGTGGTGGTCTCCATGCTGTGGTGGTCTCCATGCTGTGGTGGTCTCCATGCTGTGGTGGTCTCCATGCTGTGGTGGTCTCCATGCTGTGGTGGTCTCCATGCTGTAGTGACCACCATGCTGAAGTGACCACCATCCTGTAGTGACCACCATGCCCGTGGTACAAACTATCCTATTGTCTGTTCATGGCGGCCAGGGCAATGGTTGTCCTAGTAACATATTCAGACCAGTGTTCAGAATATTATACCCATCATCCACGTGAAGATTTTGAACATACACACTCACGCATATCTACAATGACATAACAATAACATAACAATGAAGTTTGTTCATTTACAATGACATAGCTTATACTCACCGATGAGTCTTTGGTGCTCGGTCACTATGACCTGTTGACACTCACCGCTCCTGGTATCTCCTCCAAGACACTTACAGATCCTTCTCCAAGACACTTACAGATATGCAGATTGGTTGAGGAGTAATTGTGTGTGTGGAGAGACGTCGAACTTCTTGCGCAACTTTGAAGATGTTCGTACCAACTGATGGGGTGGTGAGGTGTGTGTGTACTCATGATGGAGTGGTGAGGTGTGTGTAACCATGATGAAGTGATGAGTTTCATAAAGTCAGCTGCTGTTGCTGCTTCAGAAAATTATGAACTACTGCCTATAACTCATCATTAAACAACTTTCCCCCAAATTACTTTTGACAACTTTGATGCTGATATTTCATCTCAGAATGAAGAACAATTCAAATATTCGTTACCTGTACGCGTGACACAAGTATATTAACAAAATATACGACATGGAATACACAAAATTCAACTGCGACACAAACAAATAAATATACACAGAACACGTGCAACGACCCCACAGAGAATGGAAAACATTGAAATCGACATTGACCAAAAAATACTCTTAAATCCTTGAAATGCGAAGCTTTGAAATCACCGCCATCTTTTAAATCATTGTTCAGTAATATCTTTACCTAAGAAATGCCAAAGAAAATCATTTTATATTCATGAAGGAGATACCTTTCAATTATCATCCCTCTGAAGTCAATTGCTTGAAAATTCATGCATGTCGTGAGGCCACTTGAGCCTTGAGACCAAGCACTTCCATCGTATATCATGACCTTGTAACATGTCATTTTTAGATTCTGAAATATTGATTGCGGCTTTGGTCATCGTTTGTGTAGAGTCGGTGAGCCAGAAGGTCGATCTGGCTCACCGACAGGTCCACCTTCGATCAAGTGGGTGATCACCTTCGATCAGATCGAAGGTGATCAAGATTAATGTATCCTGCCGTGTGTTTTTCAATTTACTACTAATGGTTGTGTTGTGTATGTGTTAAAACCACATATTGCAATCATGTACAATAAAGTTCCCTATATATATATATATATATATATATATATATATATATATATATATATATATATATATATATATATATATATGGGGGGGGGGGGGGTTAGGAGAAGACAAAATGTGCCAGTGCACGTGGGAGCCCGACAAGGCTTCCACCGAGTGCTGCATATCCTCTTTTTCGAGGACTGAAGGTCCCTACAAACACCGAGAGGTGGTACCTCCGAGCATTCTAAAATGCTCTGATCAAGGCGAATTGAGCCAAAAACGCGTTTAGCAATTCTCTGTTTTTCACATGTGCTTTTTCCGCATACTTGGATTAGTGTTTTTGCGATCTTGCTTGCAAACTATTATTGTATGACACAGTGCAAGCTCCACTCAAATCTAGAGACAGCTTGAGTGATTTCCTTGTGATCAGAGTCTTTAAAACATTCTATTAAACATTAAAACATTATTACCGATGTTTCTGAGTTCCTTTTGTTACGAAAGCCGTGTTGGACTTGTTGCAGTACACTAGGGGCATCTAAGTGATATAATGCATATTGTGGACAACTCTAAAATACTCTGGATTACTGTGAAGAGTTAATATCAAGTATGCGATGCCTCGTGTAGATTCCTATAAGAGGGAAGAGGACTGGCGTAGGGAAGCAAGCATAGTCCCTCAAATATCAGTGCGAGGATTCATACTATTTTTCATTTATGATATTGAACTCCGGAAGTAGAGTCCCACCTGTCGATATTTGCAGACGATGCAAGATTAACGAGAAAAGTCGGGACAGATAATGATTATAAAATAAAATGGCAACCAAGCTCCAAAAACAGGAGTATGGAGAAGAAAATGGGAAAAAAGATGACAAGAGACCAGTTGGAAGTCCACAATTAAGAGCAACTACCTCCTTGAATCGACTTAGAATTAGAATTAGACACACTTAAATATAACCCCCAATCACATATAAATAGGAAAACTACTTATTATTTCTCGAGTTAAAAGTAGCACACTTTTAACTGGCGGACATCAGAAGTGCCAATAGGAATTTCATCAAGAAGGCATTCAAGATCACTTCACATTACCTACGTGAGACCCGTCCTAGAATACGTAACCTCATCGGAGGTCCGCATTAAAAAGGGACAAATGATTAAGGAGACTCGTCCCAGAATTACGTAGGGTCGTAGTAAGGAGAAAGACTTAAAAAATTAAAAAGTCTAGACACGACAAAGAAAAGCATTTAAAGGGTTTTCACGACCAAAAGCGAAACATATTCACAAATAAATTAAACTGAACAAGAAAGCATAGATGAAAACTTGAGACAAAGATGTGACAGAGAGAGAACTACATTTGTTAGCCTAAAAGTAGTAGAAAACAGACGTGTATTAAAGGAACAGGTTGCCCAACACCAGACCAGTGTTAAAATTAGATAAAAAAGGAAGGTAGGTTAGGAGTGACCTATCAGGAGTGAATGCGGAGGCTGATTCAAAGAGCTGACGCTCGGTTCTTCAGCCTCAAGTTAACTAAAACACCTCAAATCATGCATGCATACCAGATATTAGAACACTGAATGATTAAATAACACACATCCTTCCTCTTCTCCAGCCGTGGGAGGGAGCATGCTGCCGAACGCAACCCAGCCAGAGGCAGCCCGAGCGAGGCAGGAGGCCAGCAGCAGCCACCACAGGAGACACCAGCAGAAGCAGCAGGCACCCCTCGCTCTACCTGTACACCATCAGAGCCAGCAGGCACCCCTCGCACTACTTGTACACCAGCAGAGCCAGCAGGCACCCCTCGCCCTGCCCGTACACCAGCGGAGCCAGCAGGCACCCCTCGCTCTGCCCGTACACCATCAGAGCCAGCAGGCACCCCTCGCCCTACCTGTACACAAGCTCCTGGTCAGTGGCACTAACTACAGCAGGGACGCTGATGGCACTCTCGACGGGCCTTACTTCCTCACGCCACTTGACAGTCATCTCACTACCAGGGCGGGTCAGGCTGCTGTCCTCACCTGTGTTGTTAAGCAACTGGGCAACAGACAGGTAGGTGGTGACTCTCTGTACCGCTTTTGTTTTTAACTCTGAGGTTGTAACTTAGTGGCATTGAGTGAATATTTCATTTAATCTCCAAAATATATACCAATACAACCTTTTGTACCTTCATGTATATACTGGTACTCTGAGGGATACCAGGCATTGCCCAAGATAGTCCCCTTGGTTCCTTCCTCTCCTCTCCTCTACTTTTCCCCTCTCCCTCTTCTCTCAGAAAATATAATATTAAATATTATTAATTATTTAATAATTATTATAATATATAATTATTATTTAATTAATATTATATATTAGTAAGCAACGAAACTTTCCAATAGGTCTATTTTTTACGTTCACCAAAAACTCTTAGGGCATTACAACCAATATTTCACACTTGACAATACATGAATCCAATGAAAATAGAATGTGTGTGTGTTTGTCTCGGGGGAATAATTACAGTATTAATATTCCAGTCTATGTTTGTCCCATAGTCCAGACAATTTCCCCAAGTATCTGGCCTCCAACTTTGGACAGACAAACAGACATTATAGTATATTACATTATATAATAGTATAATATAGTACTATACCAAAATTCTTGTAATTAACGACGTTTTTAGGTATAATAACCAGATCCATCTTCTTAGTATATTATATTATCCCCCAAAATTCAGCCCTTTGTATTTAGAATGATTTACTAAGAGAACTTAATTCTCTTGTTTGTACATAGTATTAAATATCAATTGACGTTAGTTGCACTATGATCTTCTGTACTTTATTATCAATTAACTTAGATTATGTCTATTATTATTATTTATGTTGGGAATTTCAGAAATACCAGAGTATATATACTTAGTACTCACCTAGATCAGGTATTCAGAGTGACAGGTGTCCAGCCTGACAGGTGTCCAGCCTGGCAGGTGTCCAGACTGACAGGTGTCCAGACTGACTGGTGTCCAGACTCACAAATGTCCAGACTGACAGGTCCAGACTGATATACAGGTGTCCATACTGACAGGTGTCCAGACTCACATATGTCCAGACTGACAAGTGTCCAGACTGACAGGTGTCCAGCCTGGCAGGTGTCCACACTGGCCAGTGTCCAGCCTGGCAGGTGTCCACACTGGCCAGTGTCCAGCCTGACTGGTGTCCAGACTCACATATGTCCAGACTGACAGGTCTAGACTGATATACAGGTGTCCAGACTGACTGGTGTCCAGACTCACATTTGTCCAGACTGACAGGTCCAGACTGATATACAGGTGTCCATATTGACAGGTGTCCAGACTGACAGGTGTCCAGACTGACAGGTGTCCAGCCTGACAGGTGTCCAGCCTGACAGGTGTCCAGACTGACAGGTGTCCAGCCTGACAGGTGTCCAGCCTGACAGGTTTCCAGACTGACAGGTGTCCCGTATACAGGTGTCGTGGATCAGGGGTCGCGATCTACACGTGCTCAGCTCAGGTCAGGTGACCTTCTCATCAGACTCGCGGGTCAGCGTCACTCACCTGAAGGACTCGTGGGCCCTCACCATCAGATACTCTCAGCCCCGAGACGCCGGGAGCTACTCCTGCCAGGTCAACACCCAGCCCCCCCTCGCCTCCTGGTACAACCTCACCGTCGTAGGTCAGTCACGGGTCACTCTTGGTACAACCTCACCGTCGTAGGTCAGTCATGGGTCACTCTTGGTACATCTTCACCGTCGTAGGTCAGTCACGGGTCACTCTTGGTACAACCTCACCGTCGTAGGTCAGTCATGGGTCACTCTTGGTACATCTTCACCGTCGTAGGTCAGTCACGGGTCACTCCTGGTACAACCTCACCGTCGTAGGTCAGTCACGGGTCACTCTTGGTACATCTTCACCGTCGTAAGTCAGTCACGGGTCACTCTTGGTACAACCTCACCGTCGTAGGTCAGTCACGGGTCACTCCTTTTTAACTTCAGAATCAGATAATTCGTTTTATCGGGGACAGGAAGCCTGTATATATATACTTTACAGCTCATCCTCCCAAAATGTTAGTACTAATAGTAACCAATTACTCGAAAGTACCATATTGGAACTACTGACCGTTCCCACGATGCTGCCGCTACAAAAGTTGCCTAACTTGCGGCTAACTATTCACTGCTAAGTGAACAGCCACATTAGGTGAAAGGGAACCATGCTCAAGCCTTTCCTGGATCAACCACGCTATTAAAAGTCACAAGTTACACGTCGTTCACATCATCGCAATCAGAGGTTAGTTTTAATTCCATTTTGGTACAACTTATCCATCGTAGGTAAGTTCCAGGTCTCTCGTGGGATAGTTTACCCATCGTAGTTCACTTGCAAGTGGTACAAGTTCCTCAACCAATAAAGGCAGAAATGATTTTAATCATTTGACACAGAATTAAGTGAAGGTCCAAAGTTTACAAAAAGTTCATGTTGGTCTTGTGACGTGACCTTAACCAAAGTTTCTGTCAGAATTACATTATAACTGAGAAGACTAAACAGAGTGTAGGAATCGGTAATAATGCAACAGACTGTTTTATAACTTAGGGTAAACAATTAGCATTGTCTGTACATCACTTCGAAGGGTATAAAGACCAGGAACTCGGTTGTGCTCTTTCACCATAAAATTGCCACCATAAAGATGCCACCATAAAAATGCCACCATAAAGTTGCCACCATAAAGGTGCCACCATAAAGGTGCCACCATAAAGGTGCCACCATAAAGGTGCCACCATAAAGGTGCCACCATAAAGGTGCCACCATAAAGCAGCCATCATAAAGGTGCAAGGATTACATGGTGCCAAGAACGACATTGTGGCAGAAATGTTTACAAATACTTGGTGTCGTCTGGACGCTGTCACCGTTCGACTCCTGTGCTCTGAGACAATATAGAAACTCCATTTCAACTCTAAATCTTCGGATGAAATATAAATCGATTCGAATTTATTGGTGGTCACTAACAATGTTAACTATTTATGGGCGTCTTGTTTTGTTTAGAAGTGTAGAATAAATAGTTTTGTTTTGTCCAGAAGGCCAATAGAAATGTTAGTTTTTTTGGTCTAGCAGAACCATGCAAATGATCTCATTTTGTTCAGCAAAACCACTGAAACTGTCGTATTTTGCCTAGAAGAACCACTGAAATTGTGGTCTTTTGTCTAGAAGAACGACATAAATTAATTGTTTCGTCTAGAAAATAAAACGTCGTTCGTGTCATATATTGAGTGACTGGTTGTCCAGGTGCTTCCACATCACTGGAACACATTTCTGGCCAAATACATCAGTTCCAAAATAGTTCCACCGAGCGGCGCTAAGCTGGCAGCGTTGATCCAATGTATAATGTGTAGATCCCATGTATAATGTATAGATCCCATGAATAATGTGGACGAGCCCGTGAGGGGGCAGTGCCTGTCGGCTCGTCTCCGTCTCAAAGCGAAATATATACAGCACGAGGATCTCATCTATTGGTCGCCAATTTCCTTTGTTAGTTATCTCCGCCTAAATTAGGTGGCAGCTGTACGAGGTTCAGAACACCACTTAGGGGATGAGCTCCGTGTAAATCAGGCTCAGAAGAGTGGCCAGAGTGGCCGTGAACTACGCCTCGATGGTAAGTTGACTGAACAAACTGTTCATTCAGTGTGTGTTGACTTGTAGATCTTAAACACACTGCTTGAAAGAATAAGCAAGTATTCCGAATTAGAAAATAAAGCAAGGTTAGCGCAGTATAGGCCTTCGAACTTAGAATGGCCTACATTTTCAGCTTAAGGTAAAAATGGCTTTGAACTCGTGGCTTGAATGGCTTTCTGGCTTTGAACTCATGAAAGGCCTACGGTTCCGGCTTTAAAGCCTGAGCAATAAGAAGGACTCACGTTTCTAGCTTACGGTACTAAACTCCTGCACTGCCTACGTATTCCCACTTTTAAGCTTGAAACTTAAGATAGGCCTAAGTTCCAGCTTGTAGGCCTGGAACTAAATAAAGTCCTACTTTTAAAGCTTTGAGACAAATAGCTTAGGAAAAGCATTATAGCTTTCTGCTATAAGTCAGAGTTACTCTTTACTCAGACTTGAAGCAGTTTAGTCAAAGTTGAGATGAGATGAGATGAGATTCTTGAGATGTTTTGGTGTGTGTGTTTCCTCAGAGGCTCGGGCCAACATCTTGGGGAAGGAGACGATGTACGTCCAGATGGGCAGCACCGTCAGTCTTGAGTGTGTCATCAAGGAGGAGCTGGTCATCCCTGGTGAGTTGTGTGTTCATGTGTCATCCCTGGTGAGTTGTGGGTCCATGTGTCATCCCTGGTCAATTGTGTGTCGATGTGTCATCCCTGGTGAGTTGTGTGTCCTTGTGTCATCCCTGGTGAGTTGTGTGTCCATGTGTCATCCCTGATGAGTTGTGTGTCCATGTGTCATCCCTGGTGAGTTGTGTGTGTCATGTGTCATCCCTGATGAGTTGTGTGTATCCATGTGTCATCCCTGATGAGTTGTGTGTCCATGTGTCATCCCTGGTGAGTTGTGTGTGTCATGTGTCATCCCTGATGAGTTGTGTGCTCATGTGTCATCGCTGATGAGTTGTGCGTCCATGTGTCATCCCTGGTGAGTTGTGTGTATCCATGTGTCATCCCTGGGGAGTTGAGTGTCCATGTGTCATACCTGGAGTTACACCAGAGGACTGGTGCTGTGGTACACTACCAAGAGAGTCACCACAGTATTGCTCCTCCACAGGACTGGTTCTGTGGTACACTACCAAGAGAGTCACCACAGTATTGCTCCTCCACAGGACTGGTGCTGTGGTACACTACCAGGAGAGTCACCACAGTATTGCTCCTCCACAGGACTGGTGCTGTGGTACACTACCTGGAGTCACCACAGTATTGCTCCTCCACAGGACTGGTGCTGTGGTACACTACCAAGAGAGTCACCACAGTATTGCTCCTCCACAGGACTGGTGCTGTGGTACACTACCAGGAGTCACCACAGTATTGCTCCTCCACAGGACTGGTGCTGTGGTACCAGGGCGACAGGCTGGTGGACCGGGACTCCGGGAGGGTCAAGGTGGTCACCATTGTGGGTAACGTGACCACCAGTACACTGACGGTGGCCGGGGCCACGCGCCATGACTCAGGCAACTATTCCTGCTGGCCTTCTGCAGGCCGCCCTGACAACGTCATCGTCCACGTCATACAAGGTACCTATAATGCTCCGACTTCACATACATGGCAACTATAATGCTGTCACCTCATTATAACTACAATGCTGTCATATTATCTACAATGCTGTCACCTCATAGGAACTACAATGCTGTCACCCCATAAAAACTACAATGCTGTCATGGTAACTATAATGATATCATCCCATATGATCACCGAGGCTTATATGTATACTCTCTAATATGTATGTATATATTATATGTATACTCTCTAATATATGTATACTAATATAGGCTTATATTATACTCTCATGATAATTCCATCTTTGCCTTAAGAAACAAACAAGAAGCTTGAGTGAGGAGAAGGGATGGATACTTATCCACTGTGTATAGTGTATAATGTATATTGTATAGTGTATTTAAGACGTATAGTGTATAGTGTATCTATTGCAATCAATCTGAAATAGAGATTGTTCAGAGACGAAACTCACTGAAATGCTTAAAGAAGTCTCAGCTACGACCTCAAAACCAGAGGTCGTAGAAATGATGGATACTTACGATTAACAAGGCTACTTGCACCTCTTGTCTCAGGTGATCCGCCAGCGGCCATGCAGCATGGCAACTCAGCCACCTGGGTCACCACCCTCCTGCTGGTGCCCGTCGCATCCTCTCTCACCTCCCTGCTGCTCCTGCTGACGTGACACTGATCGGCGCTACTGCTCCTCCTCCTGTGACACTGATCGGCGCTGCTCCTCCTCCTCCAGTGACACTGATCGGCGCTGCTCCTCCTCCTCCTGTGACACTGATCGGCGCTGCTGCTCCTCCTGTGACACTGATCGGCGCTACTGCTCCTCCTGTGACACTGATCGGCGCTGCTCCACTTCCCGTGACACTGATCGGCGCTGCTCCTCCTCCTGTGACACTGATCGGCGCTACTGCTCCTCCTGTGACACTGATCGGCGCTGCTCCACTTCCCGTGACACTGATCGGCGCTGCTCCTCCTCCTGTGACACTGATCGGCGCTACTGCTCCTCCTGTGACACTGATCGGCGCTGCTCCACTTCCCGTGACACTGATCGGCGCTGCTCCTCCTCCTGTGACACTGATCGGCGCTACTGCTCCTCCTGTGACACTGATCGGCGCTGCTCCTCCTTCTGTGACACTGATCGGCGCTGCTCCTCCTCCTGTGACACTGATCGGCGCTACTGCTCCTCCTGTGACACTGATCGGCGCTACTGCTCCTCCTGTGACACTGATCGGCGCTGCTCCTCCTTCTGTGACACTGATCGGCGCTGCTCCTCCTCCTGTGACACTGACCGGTCAACACGTTGGCTCTGAGACACCACTCCTCTGCCTTTAGTCTCTTCACTGCCTTTCACCAACACTCTCATGCTCCAGTCTCCCCTCACATGCTCCAGACTCCCCTCTCATGCTCCAGTCTCCCCTCTCATGCTCCAGTCTCCCCTCTCATGCTCCAGTCTCCCCGCTCATGCTCCAGACTCCCCTCTCATGCTCTAGACTCCCCTCTCATGCTCCAGACTCCCCTCTCATGCTCCAGACTCCCCTCACATGCTCCAGACTCCCCTCTCATGCTCCAGACTCCCCTCTCATGCTCCAGTCTTCCCTCTCATGCTCCAGACTCCCCTCTCATGCTCCAGTCTCCCCTCACATGCTCTAGACTCCCCTCTCGTGCTCCAGTCTCCCCTCACATGCTCCAGACTCCCCTCTCATGCTCCAGACTCCCCTCTCATGCTCCAGACTCCCTTTCTCATGCTCCAGACTTCCCTCTCATGCTCCAGTCTCCCCTCTCATGCTCCAGTCTCCCCGCTCATGCTCCAGACTCCCCGCTCATGCTCCAGACTCCCCTCTCATGCTCCAGACTCCCCTCACATGCTCCAGAATCCCCTCTCATGCTCCAGACTCCCCTCTCATGCTCCAGTCTTCCCTCTCATGCTCCAGACTCCCCTCTCATGCTCCAGTCTCCCCTCACATGCTCCAGACTCCCCTCTCATGCTCCAGACTCCCCTCTCATGCTCCAGACTCCCTTTCTCATGCTCCAGACTTCCCTCTCATGCTCCAGTCTCCCCTCTCATGCTCCAGACTCCCCGCTCATGCTCCAGACTCCCCTCTCATGCTCCAGACTCCCCTCTCATGCTCCAGACTCCCCTCTCATGCTCCAGACTCCCTTTCTCATGCTCCAGACTTCCCTCTCATGCTCCAGTCTCCCCTCTCATGCTCCAGTCTCCCCTCTCATGCTCCAGACTCCCCTCTCATGCTCCAGACTCCCCTCTCATGCTCCAGACTCCCCTCTCATGCTCCAGTCATAATACATTCATGAAATCTACCCTCTTCAATCTTGTATATTATATCTTTTCATAATTCTCAATTCATATTCACTTCTGAAAAGTCAGAAATGTCAACAATACAAAGGAACGCAACTCCCTATACACGTTGTGCAGTGACACGACTCTTCTCCTGCAACAGGATGACACTTGCCTGCTTCAGCAGGTGTTCCAGTGCTTCAGCAGGTGTTCCAATGCTTCAGCAGGTGTTTCAGGGCTTCAGAAGGTGTTCCAATGTTTCAGCAGGTGTTCCAATGCTTCAGCAGGTGTTCCAATGCTTCAGCAGGTGTTTCAGGGCTTCAGCAGGTGTTCCAGGTCTTCAACAAAAGCGAGCTTGGCAAGCTCTCAGGTCAAACTTCAAAGACAATATTCCTATTTTACATTAAGGAAATTCTTAACTTTTTTTATTTATAATTTTATATATATATATAATTGTGATAATTATAGTGATATTTTATGATCAGTAATGATCGAGGACAATCACTGTTGCACGTATTTCTTAGCAACGTCTCTCTTAACCCAATGCAGCGAGATTTAGTCATCTTTTCTATAACAAAATCGTTTGTATTAGAGACGGAGTCGAATCCCAGATGAAAGTTCCCGGGTTCGATACCAGCAGCCGGATAGATCGAGACATTTAGATTTTGTTTCGCCAGATGGTTCGGTTCACCTGGCAGTAATATTTTACCCTGGAGTTAGCCAACTGTTGTGTGTGTGGCATTCAAAGGTCAGCCTAACGGCCTAACGTTGGCTGGTATAGGGACAGCGACGGTCTCGCCTTTGCAGGTCGGGGCTCGATGCTCAATTGTCCAAGTGGTCAATGTTTCAACGTTTACATTTGTTCAATCCAATTTCAACTCCAGGGTTAGCTACCTTGTGAATGACCTCTTTTCTGACCTATGAACCTGTGTCTGCTTGACATGTAGTGAATGTGCCATCAAGGCTGGCGATGGACCTGCAAAATAAATGCTGTCAGTGGATTAGACTGATGCTGTCATGGTACAACAAGAGTAATGCTGTCAGTGGATTAGACTGATGCTGTCATGGTACAACAAGAGTAATGCTGTCAGTGGATTAGACTGATGCTGTCATGGTACAACAAGAGTAATGCTGTCAGTGGATTAGACTGATGCTGTCATGGTACAACAAGAGTAATGCTGTCAGTGTACAAGAGTAATGCTGTCAGTGTACAAGAGTAATGCTGTCAGTGTACATGATTAAGACTCTCAGATTATCAAAGTAATGTGATGCTAAGTCATTACCATTTGAATAAAAAAAATAGGCTAGGACGCCGATTGTACATAGGTGATGGTATGTACCCCATGCCCAAGTGAACACAACGAGGCCTCGGTGCCCTGCCGATGATCAAGGGGTTGTATGTGGTATGGTTAATGGTCAACGCGGAGGCCCTTTACGTTATGTTGTATCACATTCACTCTTGTATTATGTTCATTGTTGTATTATGTTCAGTACTGTATTATGTACATAATATTATTATGTTGATTGCATTACATGTGTAAAAAACGTAATTTAACCTTCATTGGAAGTATGACTGGCATTCATACAACTCAGGCAGGCCTAAATTAACGATTTGATTTGACTTAACCATCAGAGATACACCAGCCTATCCAGCTGGCCCAACCAAACTGGTCTAACCTGCCTAACAGACCCAGGCAATCTGTTTGACATAGACAAACCCAGCTGGCCTACTGAACCTTAACCTAACCTAGCTGGTGAAGACCACCTAGCTGACCTAGCCACCTCAGCAAGTTAAAAGGACCGAGTCTCAGCACATGTAACAAACGGGTTACAAACCCGCCTCTCTCAACCACGATAACCTTGCACCATGCTGCAAGGTTATCTTATTCTTTGCAGAATGTTTACGTCTGGGATAACTATATGTTTGTGTGTATACATGTGTGTGTCTGGAGACAGGGAGGGTGTTTTCCTACAATTTTGTTTGATGGACGTGCGACTGCACACTGATACTATTTATATACACACACACACACACACACACACACACACACACACACACTCACACACACTCACACACACACACATATATATATATATATATATATATATATATATATATATATATATATATATATATATATATATATATATATATATATATATATATATATATATATATATATATACACGCAGTAATGCTATTGTGTATATTGTGGAGGTTATATTAAACACATGAATATAATACTAAAATATTCTAACCCATTCTTAATGTACTGTATTGGGCGTGTATGTCAATGATAAAAATATTTTCAAATAAAGAGTGAATATACGAACAGTGGCTTCATTATCCACCTCACATTATACATACAAGACCACGTGCTTCATTATCCACTACACACTATGATATATGATAAAAAATATATGATATGATATATGAACTATGATAAACAAAATGCAACACTTAAAATGATAGGTTAAAAGTAAAAGCTTGGTAACATGGTACATGTAGAGATGAATAAAGCTAATACAAGAAATATATTCAACTTCTCAAGATAGGAGCATGAAGCCGTTGTATCTATAAGAAACAGGAATTATATTATAATCAAGCGAGCAGACGAAGATGGAGGAGCGGTGGTGGTGTGCGAGACTGAAAATTAAAAAAAAATAAATACTCAGGTAACATGATCGGAACTCGAAGATGCCAACAAAGATGTTACTGCCCAAAACGCCATAAACAACAGAGGTCCCAGGACAGAACCTTGAGGCACTCCACTTACAACATTTTCCCACTCTGACGGGAACTAACTCTGACACCTAACTAATCTTTGTATATATATAGATTAATGACCCAAGCCTCTTACCTTTACGTCTTACTTCTTACCTAATTATATGCATTTGACCTCCCAGCAGATGTTGTCTCCCCACTTGAGAATGAACCTCGTTGGCTCGAAACGTTGTGTAAATTATAATAAGTATGAAACGTTTTATAGTTAATTTATATTCTTTTAGTCAACCTTGAACAAATATGACGTTTGGTGAAATCCTCTTCCAAGTAAACTGAGATGCAAAGCACTTGTCACAGGGATAGAACCCTAAACAAGAAAAAACACGGAATAGGCAATATATATATATATATATATATATATATATATATATATATATATATATATATATATATATATATATATATATATATATATATATCCTCAGGTCATCCGGCTGTTTCTGCTACATCCTGTCTGAGGAGTGGTGAAGATTAAGTGGTAATGATTGATGAAGATCATTACACAACATCACAACAGACCTGTCTCCCGAAGCCCACACCAGACAAGTATCATCAAGGGGCGAAGACTATAGACGGCTAATTATAAAAATGGCTTTATAATTTCCTCGTGGAAATCATAAAG